GGTTGTTTAGCCTATTTTAGGCTAATGATTCTAAAATTACAAAGTTGGGTAAAAAGAGGTTACTACTTGTGCTTTTCTTTGTTATGCTTCTAACAGTACAACCTACAAACTTTTAAATCTTGAATAGAATATAATTATAGAATCTGGTGATACTATTTTTCATGAAAATAAATTTCCATTTGAGTTTAAAAATAGTGGGGGTCAAATAGATAAAGATAATTTTTTGTTTATGCCAAATTCTACTTCTATTTTGCAAAATGAAGAAAATGATGCTTTTGAGTTAAAAAGAAGTAAAAGAGCTAGAATAGAAAAAAAAATTGGTCCTGATTTTTATGTTTTTAATAATGAAAATTACCCCCTTACTTTACAAGAAGTTTTATTGTCACCTGATGCTATCTTGTGAAAAGAGACTGTAAATGATGAAATGGACTCACTAATTTCTAATAAAACTAGAAAGTTGGTTGATTTACCACCAGGTTGTAAAACAATTGGGTGCAAATGGGTCCTAAAAAAAAAGTTAAAACATAATGGATCCGTTGATAAGTATAAGGCTAGTTAGTTGCTAAAGGTTTTAAGCAACTAGAAGGCCTAGAAAGTTTTGATATTTTTTCTCCGGTAACTAGAATTACATACATTAGACTTTTAATTGATATTGCTGCAATTTTTGATTTGCATATTCGTTAAATAGATGTAAAAACTATTTTTTTTTAAATGGGGACCTAAATGAAGAAATTTGTATGGATCAACCTGAGGGTTTTATAGAAGCAGGCCAAGAAAGTAAAGTATGTAAACTTACTAATCCCTATATGGCTTGAAATATGCACCTAAGCAATGGCATGAAAAGTTTGATTCTTGCATGATTGAAAATGGTTTTAAATCAAATGAGTGTGATAAGTGCATTTATCATAAGTCTTGGAATAATTCACATGTAATTGTTTGCTTCTATGTTGATGATTTGTTAATATTTGGCTCTAACATAAATGTTATTGAAGAAACTTTTTGCATGCTTAGTAGCCATTTTGACATGAAAAATTTGGGTGAGGCAAATTTCATTCTTGGAATAAAAATTACAAGAATGAAAATTACTAGAACATGTGATGGAATTTTCCTTAACCAGTCACAATATGTTGAGAAAATTTTGAAAAAATATAATTTTATTGATTGCAAGCATGTTATAACCCCTTTTGATTCAAGTGTTCACTTATTTCCTGTACAAAGTGACAATGATGTAATAAATCAAAAGGAATATACTAGCTTAATTGAAAACTTGAGATATGTGACTGATTGTACTTGAGCGGATATTGCATACGCAGTAGGAGTACTTAGCAGGTTTACAAGCAAGCCAGGTAATGAACATTGGCATGCCATAGCAAGAGTTATGAGGTATTTACTTGGTATAAAAACCTATGGCTTATTTTATAAAAAAAATATCATGTTGTACTCGAAAGCTTTTCTGATGCAGATTGGAACACTTTATTTGGTGATTCATGTTCTACTACATGTTATATTTTTACTTTGGGAGGTGGTGCTATTTGTTGAAAATCGAAAAAGTAAACAATAATTGCTAACTCTACCATGGAGGCTGAGCTAATTGCTTTAGCTTCAGCTAGTGAGGAAGCGAATTGGTTGAGAGATTTATTATTTCAAATTCCTTATTTTGAAATACTAATTCCTCCTATTTTAATTCATTGTGATAGCACTGTTGTAATTGGTAGAGTACAAAGTCGTTATTACAACGATAAATTCAGACCTATAAGAAGAAAATACAGTACTATGAGATCATATTTGACAAGTGGTACCATTAATGTTGACTATGTTAAATCTTATGATAATCTTGCAGATCCACTGACTAATGCCTTAGTAAGAGAAAGGGTCTGGAGTACATCGAGGGGATAGGATTGAAGCCCGTAAATTCATAAGTCATATATGAGGAAACCCAACCTAGAGACTAGAGATCCTATAACCAAGTTCAACGGGAAGAACGAATCATATGATGGCTTGGTTTGAAATGCACTATTTTTATTATCGTTTCATCCCACCTATGATGTGAGTGCATTTATCCCGTAATGATTTGCGAGGTTGAGTTTTATTCACTCTTAATGAAAATTTATAGCTCGTATGAGTGGGGTGTTAGAGTTACAGGGGCACCCTTGACATATTTCATCTATGGGAGTGTGGAAGTAGGCCGTTTCCTATGAGAATTGGGCTTGTTCTCAAAAACACTCATGAAAACCGTGATACACAAGGCCGTAATATGCTGGCTAATAAAGCTCATGTCAACACCTTGATTATTATGTATAAGCGGTGATAATTTATTTTCCTAAAGCAGACATAGTTCAAGTCTGAGACCACTACTGATTCTGGAGTAAAAATCGTTGTTTTGCTAAGCGGAGATTCAATGGAGAGCATACCTTCATTATGCATGATAGTCTCCCTTCAACTGGTAAACTCTTTTATTTTAATATTAAAATGAGTGGGTGAATGATAGTATAATAGCATTTTATTATTAAAATAAAATATGCCATAACTCCCACTACTCCATGATGTAGAAAACGGTCATAACTCTTTTGTAACTCTTCTCCCTTATTCTACCACTAATTACATAATAATTTAACCATTATCACATGTTCTCCATGATTTCATAACTTATTACCCCACTTCTTCCAATTTAATTCAAGGAAAAATTCCTACACCTATAAATAGGAGTCTTTCTTCCATAATATGGTGTGAGAAATAATTGTAGAGTGTTTCAATAAAGTGAGGTTAAAGTTGTGAAAGAAGAAGAAGAAGAAGAAGAAGAAGAAGAGAGTTTTTTACTTTTGTTGAAGGAAGGTGTTCATCTTGGTGGAGCTTTGGACGCAACAACTTATCCAGAGTTTGTTCGAGTCATACGATATGATCGGGCTGTTGTATCCTAGGGGAGACAAGTCAAGAGGATTACTGCTAGACCAGTGAAGACTTTGCTGCAGTGGGCTTGAATCTCCTTAAAGAGAGCGAGATATCCGCGCCTCAGCCTGAAGATATTTTATTTTCTTCATTTTATTTTTCAACTGTAATTGTATTTTCACCAACATATCAGATAAGACAAGAATCGGTATAACAGATCAATTACTCAATCATATAAGCATCAATGTCAAACTAGTTGGACTATGCTATATCAAGTACTAAGGTTTAATTTAGCTGTGACAGCAGACTAAATGGCTTATAACTGCCAGGTTATACAGTTAAGTAAAAAAATAAATAAATAAAAAGTTTCTACCTTTCATTGAGAATTCGCCAAATTTTTGCAACTCTAATGAATACTCCTATTAGACTGTTAGTATGTTCCAACATTGTACCAAAGTATTGCCAACTATACAAATTCTGAGGCTGTAGGCTCAAACGTTGAACTCAAAGGAGAATTTGAGAAGGCTTTTGCTGCAGGTAGCTCCAAAGTGGTCAATGACGATCCTTCTGATCGCGAAGGAGAAAATACTTAAGGCTTTGGTGGTATTTGCAAGGCCTCCAAACTACCTTCTAACATTTCTATTACCTTACCTATTGCTGGCCTTTGCAACGGATCTGTTTGGATGCACCACAAACCAACTAATATCATTTTCTTTGCAATCTGTTTTTCTTCATTGGTAATTCTATCTCTTATATTTAGTTCTTCATCTAGCACAATGCGATGATAAGCCCAACATGGAAAGTATATTTCACTATTATGGCTTCTTTCAGCATTGTAGTTCCTTTTTCCTCCAACCATTTCGAGAACCATCATTCCGTAGCTATAAAAATCAGATTTGTGTGAAACTCCTCCGAAATTTCTACAGAACACCTCTGGAGCAATATAACCAACGGTTCCTCGAGCTTCTAATGTGGACATTATGCTCTCTTTTCGAATACATAATTTTGCTAAACCGAAATCAGATATCTTGGGGCAAAAGTCTTCGTCCAGAAGAATGTTGTGAGGTTTTATGTCAAAATGCAAAATTCGTGAGTTGCACCCTCTATGCAAATACTCCAGTCCCCGAGCTATTCCAAGTGCAATTTTATACAACACTTCCCATTCCAATCTAAAGTCTTCTCTGTAAATGTGTTTATCAAAAGATCCATTCGGCATAAATTCATAAATAATTGTTTTTTCCCGACGATTCAAACAAAATCCCAACAGAGTTACAACGTTGACATGAGAAGTTTGACTGATGCTTGCAACTTCGTTAATGAAATCTTCTCCATTCCCCTCGCTCGCTTTTAAGATCTTCACAGCAACGGGATGGCCGTTAACGTTACCTTTGTAGACCCCTCCATAACCCCCTTCTCCAAGTTTCTCTTTAAATGAACTTGTCATTTTCCTAATGTCTGAATAGCTATATGCCATTGGGGCTAAAGATCCATACTGCTGCAGGTTGGCTTCAACATTCTGATCTGCTGTCTTTGTTAATGAAACACAGAGGTCGCACAATTTCCTAAATCGAAAGCAACATATCAAGCAGCAGGTTACAGCTATTGCAGTCCCAACCGCGGATAATGCTATATAAACAGACAAAAGAAGAAAAGATGGTATTTTAGGCCACCGATGATCACATAAACTACTCCTTCCGTTCCATTTTACATGACAGTGATTTGACTTGGACTTTTAGAAAAAGTTAGACGTTCAGTACATACCAAAAGTATCCTTAGAACTCATGGTCTTAAATATGTCATGACATTTTTATAACGTCATTAACAAAAAATGTCAAGTTTAAAATTATAAAGTTTCCAAATATAAAAAGGTTACGTATCAAAAATAAAAGAATGTCATATAAAAGAGGAAGGAGTACTATTTAAGCTGTTAGTCTAATGAAAGTATGAAAAATAACATGGTACCTATTGAGAGCTTCAAAGGTAAGATTCGACCTGCAAAAGTTGTCATTATACTCATTAATTAAGAAGATTAAATACAAGGATTATAAGTTTATTCTATTCCACCATCCCCAAGAGAAGTTTAATAAAAAAGATAGCGTACCTTTGGATGTACAGTGATCAAACTTTATGGTAGAATCTTTGCAGAAGCACAAGAAATCTTTGGTTGAATTGTTGAAACCACAAAGCCCGTCTGAGGCCTCACACTTAGCGCACTCTGATGCGCTCCGCCAATCCAGCACGAACCCGTCACTCAACGCCGCACCAAGCCCTCTAATCCACCCCACGTCCAACTCCGTCGCAACCACCTTATCCTCACAAATTCCATACCAATTTAAATCTTTGGGTTCATTATGCCCAACATAAAAGTATGACTTTTTTTCACCTGATGTTAAGCAATCTACAGGAATAGAGGCCGGAAGTGAACTTGTACAATTATAATAGAAGGTAAGGTGTGTATCATGTTTGGAGTATTCTAGGGGCACGTCTTCCAGAGTAAGGTTGTGACGTGCTCTAGGGCATGCCGAATTATCAGTAGTATCCCTATCGACCAGAGTAAGGGAGTGGTTCGTGTAATCTATACCTTTGACGAAGAAAGTATTCTGGGAAAGGTAAAGAATAGTTGTATTGGTACTCTTAGAGCTCTATTATTTCTGTTGCAAATTTACATAAATCAAAGTTAGGCAGGCAGATAAATTAGTAGGTCTTCTACTCATGCAGGCAAAGCGCCCAAGTGTCAATTGGGGAAAATAAAACATGCATCCAAGGTAGCATATAAACTAAGTCATAGTCACTTATTTGTTAAGTATATGAGGTGGATTACGCGTTCGTGGACTTGACCTGCAGCTTTTTACCAATCAAAAAATTTCCCCCAACTAGAAATGAAAGAAAATGGCACCCAAGGGCGTGACCTAGTGGTCAATGAGGTGGATGAAAATCACGGGAGACCGCGGTTCAAATCCCAATAGAGCCGATAAAAACACAAGGTGAATAGATGATTTCTTCACATCTGCCTAAGCCTTGGTAGCCACAGTATCTGGTATTTGAGCTGGTGGGAAGTAGCAGCTACTCGGTGGGAATCTCACACAAGGTGGCTCGAATGCCGCTAGTGCTTTCGAGAGCCATAAGCGCAAAAAAGCAACAAGGGCTCGTTTCCCTTGAAGCGAGAAGTGAAGTGCTTGCTTCATTGAAGTGAAGCGACATTTTTATAGAAGTACCAAAATGAACCTTGCGCAGATAAGTAAATAACTAAATACAAAA